TCTTCAAATTGGCAGGGCCTGAGAAAATTCATCCTAGATTACTTAAGCAACCAACTGAAGCAATCTTGGAACAGTTAGCAATTATCTTTGAGAACTCCTGCCAGATGGGTGACATCCCAGAAGACTTGAGGTCAAACATAGTGCCGATCTTTAAAAGGGGGAACAAAGAGAATGCAGGGAATTGTAGAGCAGAAAGACAAACTTTGATACCTGGGAATATACTGGAATAATTTGACTACTTAATAATTTGTAAGTCCCTAGAGGATACAGTAATAGGGTTATAATGAGCCAGCATGACTCTCTCAAACAAATAATGCCAAACCAACCAAATTTCCTTCTTTGACAGGGTTACTGGCCAGGAGGCAAGCAGCAGATGTGACAGATCTTAATTTTAGTAAGAAATTTCAACATATTACCACATGACATTCTCATAAGCCATCTAGGGAAATGCAGTCTAGATTGAATTACAATAAGGTGGGTGCACAATTGGGTGAAAATATTCAAAAAGTAGTTATCAGTGGTTCACTGGCAAACTGAGAGGGTGTACCTATTGGGGTCCCACAGGTGTCAGCACTATTCAATATTTACATTAATGGTTTGGATAATGGAGAGTGGAGTATGCTTACAAAATCTGCAGATGCTACCAGGCAAGTTGGGGTTGCAAACAGCTGGACGACAGAATTAGATTTCAAAATGACCTTAAATTGGAGAATTGGTTTGTATTTAATAAGATGAAATTGCTCAACAACAATAACTGGCTAAGTGGTAATGCTGCTGAAAAGGATGTAAGGGTTATAGTGGATCACAAATTGAATAGAAGTGAATAACATGATGCAGCTGTGAACAAAGCAAATATAGTTTTAGGGTTACATTAGCAGGAGAGTCATATTTAAGACATGGGAGATAACTGTCCCACTCTACTTGGCACTGGTGAAGCCTCAGCAGGATTAATCTACTAATTCTGGGCACCAAACTTTAGAAGATGGAGACAAATTGGAGACCAGAGGAGAGCAATGCAAACGGTGAAAGGTTTAGAAAACTTAATCTATGAGGAAAGGTTATAAACACCAGGCACATTTAGTCGTGGGAAAGGACAACTGATGGAGGACTTAAGAAAATTCTTATGTTAAAGATTGTTAAAGAGAATGGTAATCAATTGTTCTACAAGTCCAGTAAACACAGGACAAGTAGTAATGGCTTATTAATCTTTCTAGGCTAGATCTTAGGAAAACGTTTTAACTTTAAAAAAGTAGTTAAACTTAAGACTAGGTTTCCAAGGTAATCTGTGGAAACTCAGTCACTACAGGTTTTTTAGACACAGGCTGCACAAACACCTGTCATGAGTGGTCTAAGGTTGATTTTGTGGACTTGATGGCTTCTCAAGTTCTTGTCAAGCCCTACATTTCTATACTATGATCTAGGATCTTAAACCCACTACACAGACAGTACAAATGTCGGCATGCATAATCAAGTCAACCCATCCAAGAGTAAAGTCCACCAAAGTTCTCCAAAAGCCATTGTCTTGTCCTTCATATGAGGAAAAACTTTAATGAGCTAAAAAGAATGATGTATTCTAGAAGCATTAGAATTTGACATCAGACAGTTCCCTCCTCCTCAGCAAAACTCTCTCTCTCTCTCTCTCTCTCTCTTCAAAACAGAAACTAATCGCCTTATACAGAATGGGTATTGTGGGTAAGGAACAAGGAACCGGATTTGATTTTCCTATCTGTGCCTGTGTAACCTTGGGCATGTCTCTTACTGTTTTACAGATGCAGTCAGTGCCAATCCAACCAATATGCAGTTGTGTAAGGCACCTGAAAGTTTTGGGCACCGAAATTTTCTTAACATCCACCCACCCATCCACCTCTTCCTGTCCCTATTCGGTGGCTCTGCTTCCTCTGGAGCAGATCTGGTTAACTTCAAAGTGAAAAAGCCTGCCAGATCTATTAGCAGAACATGAACCCGTGAAAGAGCCATTCAAAGTGGTAATGAAGCCATTTAGCAGGCATTTACCAATCCCAGGTACATACGGTCAGATTCTGAATTTACAGTGTTAGTCGACAGGACCTTAGTTTAAAATTTGCGTTAAAAATATCTCATTAGTATGTTGCTGAAAATTATACATCTCTTTAAAAAGAATAAAATAAAAACATACCCCATTGTCGCTGCTGGCTGCCATCGGGCATAAGAGCACCAATTAATAGAAGTGCGTAGAGCCCCATAAATCCTAATGATGGCCCTGGATGTGGTATACTAAGAACAGTGCTTTTTTTGTAAGAAAAAAAGGTGCCAGTACTCCAGGCTCAAACTTGTTGAGCACACACACACACAAAAAAAGGGAGGGGAACTTATTGAGGGGAAAAAAAGGGGGGGGGGAGAGAAGAAATGTAGTCGCGGCCCCTTTAAGAGCCAAACCGCCGTACTGGGAGCCAGAAAAAAATGCCATTCCTTTACTGTGTGCTGGGAAAATAGGCAACGGTGCACCATACCATCACAAAAAAAGCACTGACTGAGAATAATAATAAAACGTCCTGTCTCTCCTTCACCCACCTTTGACTGTCTTGTCCATTGAGATGATAAGCGCTTTTGGACAGTAACACCACTTGATATGTGCACGTATAGCACTTAACACAACAGGACTCTGGTCTCAGCTGAGCCTCTAGACTCCCCTGTAATACATATGATAAATAATAAGGAGGTACCCTGAATTGTTTGGAATAAGACAAGACTGTCTTTCACCTTTTCTATTTCCCGTCTCTACAGAACAATTAATCATCACCATGTGCAAGACATTTAGCACTTGTGGTGTCAAAAATAACAACCACAAACACAAAATAACACCGACCACACATGACACTCTGCAATAGCTAAGCAAAGTAGAAGCTTCTGCCGTCAGAAGTCAAGCAAGAGTCTGACATCCTTCCTCCTGAGCAGCCTCACTGCAGACCCAAGGTGCAGGCCCCCACATCCTGGTGAATTTCACATGTTTATGCAGCTCTAAATACAAGGCCTCCTCTTTAAGAGCTACTTCATGGGCCAGCTTGTGTGGTGTACTCAAAGTAGATAGCAGTGTCAGAGAGGTACCTACAATGTAGGAGAGCCACCATTTTCCTTCCTCCCCTCCTGGCACCAACACATTTGGTTGGGATGAGTCAGACGGAGGCTGGGACATGCACAGGCCAGCATAACTGCAGTGGTGTTCTCAGGGACATAGCCTCAATTCAGTGACAAACTGGAAAAGAAACGATCAATGCCTTAGAAAGTCAGATGCAGGACAATGTAGCACTTTAAAGACTAACAAGATGGTTTATTAGATTATGAGCTTTCATGGGCCAGACCCACTTCCTCAGATCAAAAAAGTCAGATTAGAAAGTCAGGGTTTTAATAGGTACCAGGAGTGATGTGGGGCGTGGGGAGGAGAGGCTAATCTGGCCATGCTGTCCAGCTCCTGCATTCTCCCAGACAGACCCTGACCATGCTGCCTAGGAGAGGAGATACTGCCTGTCTTGGTGCAGGGACAGAATTCCCTGCCCCACAGGTAAGGGGATGGGGAAGGGAGGGGATGGAGCAGTGCAGCAGCACTCCCCCAAGTCCTAGGCAGCCCTGGCTACTATGCTTGGGATGCTGCTTGCTGCCTGGTACAGTGCAGCAGGACGGACACCTTCCCACCTGGTAATATGGGAAGAGGGATGGAGAGAGCATGTGGGCTCTGAGCTAGGGGTGGGGCAAGGAGGAATCATGCAGGGGGAGGCTTGGTGCCCCCTTTATGTCCCTCCTCACTTGTTGTCTGTGACAGGTACCTTGCTTATTAAAAATCTATAGTTCAGATGACCCTTTGAGGCTCTGAGAAACAAGAGTAAGATACAGCTTACGTGCACTCAGTTCAGCTTTTTTTTTAAGTATTTGTGAAGTATTTGACTGTATTGTGTCAAAGCCCTTTTCCCTTCAGGTCTCAGAGTTAAGGGCACAATTTCTAGGTTCCTGTCCCAGGGCTTATCACCTGAAGATTGCTGTCAAACAACACTGTATCTGAAACAACAGCTCAAAGCAATCAGCCGCTTACTCAGCGGCTAGAGAGGAACTTGTGGAGGAATGGGAAGAGGACAGGAAGTGAATGGGGGAAGGAGTATGAGAAGATAAAGATGACAGGAGCAATACCAGAGAAGAGAAAATGTAATAAGAAAGAACAGTGTATCTTATCACACCCAAGAATTGTTGGGACACACATCAGGGCCTTTCACTTTCTACAAAGAACTGGCTTTAGCCCCTTCTCTGTGCTTAAGCTGCCTCAATCATCTTTGGCCATTTATCCCCTCCCCTCCGCCTCCCGCTGTCTCAGTCACTTTCTACTGGCTATTCTCCTCTGCTACCCCCATGCTACCAGGAGACACTTCCACCTGCTCTTTCACGTTTTCCACATCTGCCAGCTTTCATAAACAGACCCTCTCCTGCTCCCAGCATGGATGCAGGTGATATGGGGCATACTGACTTTGAGGCTGGTGTACAGAAGTTATCCACCCTCTGAGGGCAGGAGGAATGCTGACTGCCTTGGAATAGGATGCCTCCCTATGCAGTGTTGGCCTCAGTGGAGCATACAACACGCCTAATAAAGTCAATGGGATGTGTGGGTAGAATCAGCACCTCCTATTTGTGAATCAGCACCTCCTATTGTGGTATACAATACAGTACACACAGCCCAGAACCCCACTCTGAGGGAACAAGATTGCCTATTCTTAATCAGAAACCTAGGTTGGTGTAAATAAGAGGCACTGTTTGACCCAACTGGCCAGTTTCAATCTACAAGGGAGTGAGCATGACTCTCAGTCACAGAGCAGATTTGGGGTGTCACAGGAAGTGGGAGCCAACTAGTTTGAAGTTTGTCTTAATATATTACAGTATATGGTGAATGCCTCACTTTGCAATAGCACTTGGGGCATACCGCACATAAATACTTGTGTACTTTAATACTTGCAGACCCCCTTAATGTCATTAATGCAATGATGCCTTTAGTCCTTGGTAGTAGTTATTTCCTAAGACTCGAGTCTCTAGTTTCATTTGCTTGAAAATGCAGTTTTGGCAGTGTGGAGTAAAAGATGAAATGATATAGCTGATGGCAGAACTAATAATGGAAACGAGGATCCTCCATTCATCAGCATACAAAAGCTACTAGGCATGAGGAAACAATCCTGACAAGGGAACCCTTACAAAGCCCATTTGAGACTTCACTCTTTCTACGTATGGTTCCTGTCCAGAATGCATTGTGGGATATTCACATTGCATAATTACATTCCCACCCTATCCAGAGCATTTGAACTCAAATATAGAATGTTCTGTATTGTGTGTTGGTCCTGTCCTACTTCTCCTGTTTCAATCTGTTGTCTCTAAAAGAGAGATCATCCAGTACTATACATTGGATTTACTACGTAGTGAGTTTATGAAGCTGACCACTAAGTAGCTAGAAGCCAAATTCATGGGTTACACTCCTGCTTTATCTTGCATATTTGAACTTGGATTTCCAGAGGTGAAAGTCTAACTCTGTAGCTGCCTAACAGAACTCTGTCCTTAAGAGTCCTGGGGAAAATCTTTCCCTTCTGCACCTTAGCTGTAGCCAGACAAAACCAACCCCCAAAATAACACACACATGGTCAACACACACCATTGAGCAGAGGGTCAGTATTCCAAGAAGTTGATGCAAATGCAAATTTGTATTCGATATTAAGTTGCTTTATCACTCATCAACCCAGAATGACTTTGTTGCTTTGGTCCAGAACTTATGCTGTTTTGAGTTAGCAAAATCCTTTCTGCTCTTACAAGACTGAATTCAGTACGTTTTACCAATTCAATCCATTAGCTGATTAAAAGCTATAGACCACACTATTTTGGGCACACTGAGACCATTATGAATAAGAAGTGTAAAAAAAACTTCCAGTATAACCAGTGTCTTTGAAAATGCTACAGGTAATAAGACTTCACATTCAATCTTTCTTCAAATCTGCAATGCCAGCAGGCAGAGAATTTATAGTAGCCTTTGAAACCATCTACTGTATTTAGAAATGAGTTATTGGTACGGTATCTTTAATTCCTGAAACAAAAAAAAAATTATATAGAAGATATGTCAAACCAAAAAATTATACAGATGAAAAAGAGCACAAAAATGTCACTGATTTATTTCAGCTTCAACTTACAGATGAATGTCCTACAGACAAAAAGAAAAAAGTAGAAATCTCTCTGAAGGTAATATTTTTTCATGTTCTTCTCTTTATACCTATTATATTAAAGTGTTAATACATTTGGATATGCAATTCCATTTTTATAATGATATAAAAACATCCCCCACACTATTATTAGTTGCCATTAAAAGCCAGCATTTGCCCACAGATGTACCTGAACTAAGTACTGAGTTTCCCTCCTATAGGAAAAGAAATAGCACTGGTAATTCTGTAGGATCTGTTAATCCCAAATGCTGACTACTTCATAACAAGCACTCTATTTAAAGGTTCCTATGATGGCCCACACTCAAATAATCTACACTAAACATGCTAAAATTGATAGAACTAGATAAATTCTTCTCTGAATCAGTACCTTTAAATCTGAGCTTAAGACCCAGGAGTTGAGCATGTGCATAAGTGCCTTACTGAACTGGAACCCAACAACTGAGAGAACTATAAGAAAGGCTAAATGCTCAGATAAGCCCTTTGGGGTAAGATCTGTCTTATCATACTGTATTTACGGAGCACCTGGCACATTTAAGTTCTGGTCTGTGACTAGGGCTCTGAGGCACTACAGTACTACTATAAGGTTTTTTTAAATGGTATTTGTGGCCTGTGCAAGAAAAACTGGCCATGCAGAAAACACAATTTATGAACAAGAGAACAGTTTAACTCTACCATGTCTAGCAAACTAACTCCTAGTAATAGAACTGCAGTGCTTTGGGGAAGTCATCCAAATAATCTTTAACCGTGCTGACTCTTTCAAGAGAAGTTTAACTACTTGTTGGACATCCCTAAGTATGTATTGGACTATAAACTTTCACCTCTTTTTCTGATTTAGCTAAGAGGTAAGAAAAAAATTGTACCTCTCCTTCTATCCTAATACATTTCCCTATATTTTTTTTCCAACCTACTGTTAGCCAATACACTCAGTCAATACAAAGGTAACCTATAAAACTGATTAGATTTCCCAGGATTATTGTATTAGAGTCACAATACACCCCCTATTACAACATTTCACAGAAATACAGAAAATGTTGTCAGTCTGGCTGTGTCTAGACTACATGCCTCTGTCGTCAGAGGCATGTAGATTAGACACATAGGCAAAGGCAAATGAAGCCGCGATTTAAATGATTGCGGCTTCATTTACATTTACATGGCTGCCACGCTGAGCCAACAAACAGCTGATCAGCTGTTTGTCCGCTCAGCGCGCTAGTCTGGACGCTCCCCTGCCGACATCAAAGCCCTTTGTCGGCAGCCCCGTTATTCCTCTTACATGGCTGCCGCGCTGAGCCGACAAACAGCTGATCAGCTGTTTGTCGGCTCAGCGCGGCAGCCATGTAAATGTAAATGAAGCCACGATCATTTAAATCGCGGCTTCATTTGCCTTTGCCAAAACAACAAATCTACTTGCCTCTGACGACAGAGGCATGTAGTTTAAACGTACCCTCTGTTACACCTAAGCTTTAAAAAGAGAAGCCAAGTTTTTCAACTGTACACAATACAGTTTTTAAGCCAAAAAAAGAACCTTAATAGTTATGACTGGTTGAAAAAAATAACATATCTGAAAAATATAAAGGACTATGTTTGTAAGTTGTTTTCAAAGTTTCTAATCTGTTCCATTTTCTCAATTGTGAGAGATCTTATGCAAATATTTGCTAATTTATATCTTTGCAAACTGGTTACTATGGGCTTGATTCAAAACCAACTAAAGCCAACAGAAATATTCCAAGTATTGATGAGTATTTGCCATTCATTGCGCCATAATTTTGATTTACGACTTGCCTCCTAAACATGGCACTGTTCTGTTACCTGATCGAATGACCAAGAGATTTCTTCTTCTCTTTGCAAATTACTTTTGAGCATTTGAAACTATCTGGTGACCTGTGAATTATTGTATTGTGTAAATAGGACAGAGTTTCAAAGTGACAGTTATTTACTGTGTGCATAGTCTACCAACTGTTATGTGCGTGTATATACAAGAATACACACATATGTCTGATATTAACTGGGTTTTATTGGCAAAAATATTCTGTTTGTTAAAAAAGCACTCTTACAACGGGGAAGTTT